TGCTGTTGACTTGAGGAAACAGGCTCAACTAGAAAAGAGATGATACCTCTCCTCCTCAGGATCTTAAAAGATAGATGTTGGTAAAGTTCTTAGCAGGGGGCCGGCCCCGTGGCTTAGCGGTTAAGTGCGCGCGCTCCACTGCTGGCGGCCCGGGTTCAGATCCCGGGCGCACACCGATGCACCGCTTCTCCGGCCATGCTGAGGCCGCGTCCCACATACAGCAACTAGAAGGATGTGCAGCTATGACATACAACTATCTGCTGGGGCTTTGGGGGAAAATAAATAAATTAATTAAAAAAAAAAAAAAGTTCTTAGCAGGGCCCTTGGCAAGTGGGGCATATTCCTTAAAGGGTAGTTATCATCGTTACCTACTTTCCGGTGTCATCACATGTGACCTGCCGTCCACCCTTGCTGTACAGTGGGGGACGGCAGCGTGATCCGGGCTGGGACTGACCCGAACTGGGAAGTGCTAGGCAGTCTTGTCGCTCTGCCTGAAGCTCAGACAGTGCTTCTCAGTGTAACTGGATGTCTCTCATCAGATCCTCCTGGCTAACTTCTTGGCCCAAACTGAGGCCCTGATGAGGGGGAAGTCAACAGAGGAGGCCCGGAAGGAGCTCCAGGCTGCGGGAAAGAGCCCTGAGGACTTGGAGAAGCTGTTGCCGCACAAGGTCGGCACTTCTCTTGAAGTGGGCTTTGGGTGGCATCCTGGCATTGGAAGGATAAAGTTGGGCCGGGGCAGGGGCTTATGGTGGGCCTGCCTTGTCCTATGCAATAGAAGGGGCTGTCCTCACAGACCTGCATATCCCAGCCTCTAGGGCAGGGTGCACTTTCCTTCTGAGCCTTTGGGGATCATGACTAACCCGGGGACATTTCCTGGGTGTTTTCTGAAGGTCTTTGAAGGAAATCGTCCAACCAACTCAATTGTCTTCACCAAGCTCACGCCATTCATTCTTGGAAGCTTGATTGGTGAGTGAGTGGGGAAGGTCCCTGCTTGGGGTAGGTTGGACTGTGCTAGTGGAGCCCTAACATACACCGTCTGCCACCTCTGCAGCCATGTACGAGCACAAGATCTTCGTTCAGGGTGTCATCTGGGACATCAACAGCTTTGACCAGTGGGGGTGAGTTGCTGACTCAAGGGGGAGGAGAGGGAATGCCTGCCGGTTGGCTTGTGTATTTCACTAGCAACACTGGAACCTTCCTCATACCATTCTTTCTCCTCTTCCTGGCAGAGTGGAGCTGGGAAAGCAGCTGGCTAAGAAAATTGAGCCTGAGCTTGATGGCAGCAGCCCAGTGACCTCTCACGATTCTTCCACCAATGGGCTGATCAGCTTCATCAAGCAGGAGCGTGAGGCCAGAAGCCAATAAACTCACGTGTGGCTGCAGTCCCTGTTGTGACTGGTCCTTCTCGTCCCTCCTCACCAGAGTCTGCACTGCATGGTCCTGCCCAGAGAACCGTCTGGTTGTGGGCTTGGACTACAAGCCCTTTGGAGGAAGCTGGTCTGGAATTGCCACCCCTACTCCCTCCATGTTCACAGTCCCTCTGTTTTACAATTGGCTGAAGTGTTTCAGTGCAGCTGATATTTCTGACCCATGTTCACACTGTTCATAAAACCAGGTACAAAAATAAAGATGCCACAAAGGAGCTTGTAGGCTCAGCCTCTTGTTTCCTGAGATGGTGCTCTCTGCAGGAGTTCGAGTCCTCAGTAGGAGGAGTGATGTGCCTTGATTGAGACTTGACTGTAAGTGGTAAGCTGGTCCAGAATGGAGGATGGTCCCTTGAGAAGAGAGTGGGCAGGGTGAGGCACAAATGGAACTTGGCCTCTGTAATCACGTCCCTTCTCCATCTTCTTCCACTCCTCGCCTCTGTGACTTTGGAGGAATCGTATACCTCTGTTCACTGGATAGTTTTAAAACCACATTGAGATTATGTCTGTTTTGGGTGAATTCCTGGCCAAGATCAAGGGTAACTACCATCTCCTGGCTCAGGTAATTCTTTCCTTTTATAAGGCAGACATTGAAAAAAGGATTTTTGAACAGACTACCCTTTTATCTTCTATTCAAGACATTAAATAATATTTCTAACCAGTTAAGCAGAAAAGGAATTCTATTTAAAGGGTCGATGGGCAGAACTGATGGGCAGGCTAGAGGCTGAGCTTCTAGGACCTACACCCTAGACCATGATACAGAATCCAGATGGGGAAACTGCTGCCCCTTTCACAAGACCCTGCTGCCCTAGACCCTGTCATCAGGGCGGCCTTCACCCCATCCTCTCCTGGGTCACCCACTTCTGAGTTGTGCTCTAGCTTGGTCACATGCCTTCCTCAAAACAAGGAAAGCCAGGATTCATATTTTTGCTCCCATAGGGGAAGGCAAACAGTACCCACAAAGGCTCAAAGTAAGGAATATCCTAATTATAGAAAGTGAACATACAGGTGCAAATGTCCCCTTAAAATAATACTCAGAAATTCTTGGCACTTTTCATCTTTCTATTGGTGAAATTTCTTTTTTTTATTCCAAGAGTGAATGCTCACTTCTCTCCCCATCTTTATAGAGGTGAAAGACAGATGTTCTTAACCACTACGCCATGGGGCCGGCTCAGAGAGATGTTCTTTTTTAGTTGAGCTCTGTTGAGGCCCCTGCTTTGCTGAGCCACCTCCTTTCTTAATGTAGCTGATGAAAAGTGAAAGCCTTTTCCCATCAGAGGCACTTCCTCTATTATACAAAAGAGGAAGCACAAAAAAAGGTCTGCAGACTGAGAGGAAAATTCAAGGTGGCAGACCTTTCAGGCTAACTTGGCTTCACATGAAGGATCTCTTAGCAGTGGGACCACTGTGTTCCTCTAGGCCAGCTGCCAAGTCTCATCTTCCCCTATCCAGGAGGAACTGGCACATAACAATGGGCCACATGTCCCTTGGCCCTGTCTTGTTCTCCTGCTTCTTATCACTGCCACTGTCATCACCTGTGGCTTCCACTTTTCCTACGGCTGCCAATTATTGCACATCTTGAACAGTATATTAGGGTTCTCCAGAGAAACAGAAGCAATAGGATATATAGAGATACATAAGAGGAGATTTATTATAGGAATTGGCTCACGTGATTACGGAGGCTGAGAAGTCCCACAATATGTTGTCTGCAAGCTGGAGAACCAGGGAAGCCAGGGATATAATTCAGTCTGAGCCTGAAGGCCTGAGAACTGGGGAGCCTATGGTGTAAGTCCTGGAGTCTGAAGGCCCCAGAACCAGGAGCTCTGATGAGGGCAGAAGACAGATGTCCCAGCTCAAGAAGAGAATTCACCCTTCCTCTGCCTTTTTGTTCCATTCCAGCCCTCAGTGGCTTGGATGATGTCAGCTCACAGTGGTGAGGGTGGTCTTCTTTACTAGTTAACTAATTCAAATGCTAATCTCTTCCGGAAACACCCTCACAGACATACCCAGAAATAATGTTTTGTCAGCTATCTGGGCATCCCTTAGCCCAGTCAAGCTGACATAAAATCAACCATCACAAACAGATAGCTTTGGGCCGGCCCTGTGGCTTGGTGGTTAAGTGAGCGCGCTCCGCTGCTGGCGACCCGGGTTCGGATCCCGGGCGCGCACCGACGCGCTGCTTCTCCGGCCATGCTGAGGCCGCGTCCCACATACAGCAACTAGAAGGATGTGCAGCTACGACACACAACTATCTACTGGGGCTTTGGGGGAAAAAAATAAATAAATAAAATCTTTAAAAAAAAAAAAAAAAACAGATAGCTTTTCAGTGTGACACTGAAGCAAACATCTTCATTCTGTACTTCCTTAAATACAAACTGTATCACAACTTGATGATTTGTGTGTTTGTCAGGAAGTTGAAACCCTACAAAATCATGAATTAAGTCAGATACTTCAAATCTCACAGGTGCAAGCACTTTTTTGTTACATTGTTCTGAGGACTCCACAATAATGTCAGTGTCAAATTTGATGTTAAATTGCCTCTGGAATTCCAGAAACTGTCAGCAATTACCATCTTGAAAATTCATTTTAAGTACCAAACCTCCAGGCTGTGATCACACTTGGATCAATAGCCTGTAATAGGCAGTGTTATGATGTACACAGATGACTGATGCTGGGGAGAGCTCCGTCATGTTGCAGGATGTTTTGCTGTGTTAGCAAGAATAATAAATTTGAAGTTTGTTTCTTCTTGCAATGATTTAACTTCTTTCCTTAATGTTCACCTTTTCCAGAATGTGCACTGTGTCTGTATTCTTTCAGTTAGCATGATGTTTTTGAAATTTACCTATGTTGTGCCACAGGCATTTTAAAGACTTCATTATGGAAAATTTCAAACATATAAAAGCAAATAGCGGGCCGGCCCTGTGGCTTGGTGGTTAAGTGCGCGCGCTGCAATGCTGGTGGCCCCGGGTTCGGATCCCGGGTGCGCATCGAGGCACCACTTCTCCGTCCATCCTGAGGCCGAGTCCCACATACAGCAACTAGAGGGATGTGCAGCTATGACATACAACTATCTACTGGGGCTTTGGGGGGAAAAAATAAAATAAATAAAATCTTTAAAAAATAAATAAATAAAAAATAAAAGCAAATAGTATAATAAACCTCAATGAGCCTGACACCAACTTCAACAATTATCAACCCATGGCCGATCTTATTTTATCTATCCCCCCACCCAATCATGTTGTAGCAAATCCCAGATAGACCACTTCACCTATAAGCACTTCAATGTGTATCTCTAAAAATTAAGGACAATTTTTTTTTGGTTAACGATAATGCTATTATCTCACTTATTTCATATAAAACTTTCTGGCAAGACTACTTCATAGTAGATGGTGCGTACTTCCTATCGCAGCGCATTACGAGGTACATAACGCCTAGGGCCCCCGGATTTTGAGCCCACGACAGGAGCAGTCGCCTGTAGGGCTCCAGGAAGACATCCTTGGAACGGATCCTAAGAGGGCGGTGCCGTCTCAGAGGTGCAGGCGGCGCGCGTGCGCAGAGAGGCGCACCATCTCGGCAGCTGTAGTCCGCCTTTTCACGTGGGCGCCCGTCGTCATGGCGGCCGTGCGGAAGCCGGTGCTGCTCGGCCTTCGAGACGTTGCAGTGCGTGGCCGCCCCACAGGGCCCGGCGCCTGGACTGCCAGCAAGCTGGGCGGTCTTCCGGTGAGGTGGGGCGCCGGAGCCCGGGTGGGCGGGTGCTGCTGAGGGCTACGGGGTGAGGGAGTGGGCGAGGTCCCGGGGCCGACTCTGGGTCTGAGCGCCTCCCCTGCCCCCAGGACGCCCTGCCCGCCGTAGCGGCGCCCAGGCCGGTGTGTGACCGTTGCAGGCAGCCGCTCGCCCTGGTCGTGCAGGTGTACTGCCCGCTGGAAGGCTCCCCGTTTCATCGGCTCCTGCACGTGTTCGCCTGCCCCCGCCCCAGGTGCGGCAGCGGCGGGGCGCGCAGGTAGGCGGGGAAGTTCCCGAGCTGCCCGCGGGATTTTATACGGAGCGGGCGGGAGCTGGGGGCCGCCCCCGGCGCCCGAGGTGGGGCCGCGCCGCCGGCTGGCAGTCGCGGTGGAGCCCTCACAGCCGTTTCTCTTTACCCTGAAGCTGGAAGGTGTTCCGCTCGCAGTGCCTGCAGGTGCGAGAGGAGGAGGCGCAGGACGCTCAGGTAAAGCGGTTGTGACTAGCATATTATGATTTGCTGTAATTTGAGGATATTTTTCAGAATGTCGTTTAAGACAAACTTTAAGCCTTGTTTTTGAAGTATGTCTGAATGGCTTTTGTTCTTTTCTGAATCATAAAGTGCTATTTCTTTAAGATTTTGTGAGTTGCTCTTTTTAATATACTATGCAAGTCTTGAGGCACATAGCTTATTTTTCTGTTTGGGAGAAAGTATGGGTGTATATACATATACATGGTTGTGTGTAATACAAATATATGTGTTTGCAGCAAATATACTTACTGTCATATGTATATATGTATATAACAAACACAAATCTGCAAATCTGAATTTATTGAAGCAAAAAGGCAGGTTGGTAGCTGCAGAACAAAATTCAGCCACCCTTTGCTTGTAAATATGGCTGTACATATACACTGAGTTCTTTTTTTTTTTTTTTTTGGTGAAGAAAATCAGCCCTGAGCTAACATCCATGCCAATCCTTCTCTTTTTGCTGAGGAAGACCAGCCCTGAGCTAACATCTATTGCCATTCTTCCTCCTTTTTTTCCCTTTTTCTCCCCAAAGCCCCAGTAGATAGTTGTATGTCATAGCTGCACATTCTTCTAGTTGCTGTATGTGGGGTGCCACCTCAGCATGGCTGGACAAGCGGTGCGTCAGTGCGCGCCCGGGATCTGAACCTGGGCTGCCAGCAGCGGAGCGCGCGCACCCAACCGCTAAGCCACGGGGCTGGCCCCTACACTGAGTTCTTAATATGTGCCAGGCATAGTACTAGCAATACCAGAAAGAAAACAATGAAGACGGTAATGGCTGCCTATGTTTGTCAGGGTGCAATTGCAGATAACAGAAAAGCACTTTGACTTTTTAAAGCTGCGACAGACTTAAAATTAGGTTTTTACTAACTTACTGGATAGGTTGGAGGAGGCAACTCCAGGGATGACCTCCAGAACCACACCTCAGAACTGGCCTAAGAGTTGCGGTGTTACCTCTCCTGCGGTCAGGAAGCTGAGATGTGGTCTGGTGAGCTGGAAGCTGCCCTTGTCAGAACTGTTGACTCCAGAGGCTTGCTCAGTCTCTCTCCATCCACAGACTGGCTGCCTTTTGCCTTTGCTTCATGGCCTCTTTTTCCATTTCACTCTGTCTCAAGTTTGTGTCTCTCTCCAATGGACCTGATTAGCCAATGCCTGATCATATCTGGAACCTTAGCTGCTAAGGAGTCTGGGAAATATAGTTTTTTCTGCCAGCTTCTGCAATACATGAAGCACAACTGAAGTAGTTTGGAAATGTGGTTGAATAAACCACCATACTACATCTGCCACAATATGTGTCACCTCCAACATGCTTTTGAGTCAGTGAGGTCCAGGGAGTTGAATCAGTGTGTGTAGGGGGAAAGGGCCTGGTGTGAAGGCTCCCTCATGTCCCTGAGGAAAGTGAAGGGATGGGTAGCTGAAGGCAAGGGAATAGGTGAGATCACCCAAGTGTGCTTGAACCTCATTCACTGGATATTCTTCCAGAAACAGGACAGTGGCCTGACAGCTGAGGATTGGTGTGAAGGTGCTGATGACTGGGGAAGTGACAGTGAGGAGGCGCCTCCACCACAGCTTCCCTTGGATTTTGGAAATGATTCCAGCAGTGCCAAAGACATAGACTGCACTGCCCAGCTCCAAGACCTCTGCTTGCAGGATACTGTCCCAGGTGCTGCTCCTCCTGCACCTCCTGCGGAAGGAATGGCTTTGCCTTCTGTGGTGCCACAGTTCCTGCCCTACTACATCTCTGTCGTCAATGAGGATGATTACAGGGACTTTGTCAGTCTAGATCATGCTCATAGCCTTCTGAGGGAGTATCAACAGAGAGAAGGAATTGATATGGAGCAGTTGCTTTCCCAAAGGTGAGAATGTGTGCTGCGAGGTCGAGAGGTGACTTGATCAGGAAGCTGCCACAGTAGGTAACCTTGGTTTTACCCTAGTACCTGGAGAAACTTTTTCAGGCAGAACTTATGTGTAGGACCTTTCTGCTTCACTCCTCTTGGATGAGAAAGGGAGACAGAGACAAGGGAATCTTATCAGCCACCCTTGAGGTAGCTTGAAAACACGTTGTCTATTTATAAGTACCCTCAAGAAAATGAACAAACAGAAGTTAGGGATGCCAAGTATTTACAGAAGATGTGTTCACTTTCTCTTTAACTTTCTTTTCTGTTTTTAAATGTATAGCCGAGACAGCTGAGTTAGAAAAATGCCGTTTGTTTATTGACTCATGGCAGTGGCTCAAGAAGTGGCCTAGGACCTCGGAGACCCTCCCAGAGCCCCAGTTCTCACTTGTAAAATGGGAGTGATATTGATGTCTCTGTTGTCCATCTCATCAGGTGGTTTTAGGAGTTAAATGAGAGAATAGTCTTGAAAGGCTTTATAAACCAAAGCCCTCTAAAGAAGTAAGAATGATCATTTTTGCTATTATAATAGAGTTACAACAGGATATTTGGAGAGATGACCTGGTTCTTTACCAGAGCTGTTTCATTTGTAAGCTTTTTCAGAATAATTTTGGAGTCCCTGAAGACATATTAGTGTTTGAAAATAATCCAGATAGAGAAAGAAATGGAGTCATTGGGCGTAATGACTTCTTAAATTGCAAATAATTATCCCAAAGTTGAAAATGGCTAGGGAGCAGGGCTTGGTGAGAAGGGTGGGGCACGGGATTACTGTTAGGCATTATAAGGTATTTAATTTATGATATTTAAATTGTGTGTATATATTACTTTGGTAAAATTTTTTTAAAAAGAAAATTACCTTGTTTACTCTTCTAAATCCTGTAATTCTCTGGATATAGACACAAGAGTTTTCCATTTTTTAGTCTTCCTAGTGATGGTGATGAAAAATATGAGACGACCATAATTAAAAGTGGAGATAAGATATTTTACAAATTCATGAAGAGAATTGCTGCTTGTCAGGAGCAGATTTTAAGGTAAAAGCACATTTTATTTTATTGTTTTTCTTGGTTGTAAAAGTAATACGTGTTAGTTAGGAAAACACAGGAAAGTATAAGGAGAAAACCAAAATCCACAAACCAGGAGGCTAAGATTTTAGTATATTACGTTTACTCATTTTTTTATGCATTTGGATGCATACATGTATGTAGGTATTGTATGTTTTTTAAAAACATAATTGGGATCATAAAGTATTTATAATTTTTTTCTTTCTTTCTTTCTTTTTTTTTTTTTTTTTTGTGAGGAGGATCAGCCCTGAGCTAACATCCATGCCAATCCTCCTCTTTTTTTTTTTTTTTTTTAAAGATTTTATTTATTTATTTTTTCCCCCCAAAGCCCCAGTGGATAGTTGTATGTCATAGCTGCACATCCTTCTAGTTGCTGTATGCGGGACTCGGCCTCAGGATGAACGGAGAAGTGGTGCCTCGATGCGCACCCGGGATCCGAACCCGGGCCACCAGCATCGCAGCGCGCGCACTTAACCACCAAGCCACAGGGCCGGCCCAATCCTCCTCTTTTTTGCTGAGGAAGACCGGCTCTGAGCTAACATCTATTACCAATCCTCCTCTTTTTTGCTGAGGAAGACTGGCCCTGAGCTGACATCTATTGCCAATCCTCCTCTTTTTTTTTTTTTTTTTTTCCTCCCTTTTTCTCCCCAAAGCCCCAGTAGATAGTTGTATGTCGTAGTTGCACACCCTTCTAGTTGCTGTATGTGGGACGCCGCCTCAGCATGGCCGGACAAGCGGTGTGTCAGTGCGCGCCCAAGATCTGAACCCGGGCCACCAGTAGCGGAGCACATGCACTTAACTGCTAAGCCACGGGGCTGGCCCCTGTATAATTTTTTTCTTTTTCAATAAACGTTCATTGATATTGAGGGTTTTGCTATATATTAAAAATTTTTCAAAATGTTTTTTCTGTTTTTTTTAACTTAAATTTGCAATAGTTAATGCATTCATAAGACTCAAAGATGTTAGTTTTCTGTGTGTACTTACGGAGTCTCTTTATGCATTTATGAACAAATATGATTACATGTTACTTTCCTTTTTTTTACACAAAGGAAGCATTCTAGACACATTCCTGCTTTTTTTTTGGTGAGAAAGATTGGCTCTGAGCTAGTATCTGTTGCCAGTCCTCCTCTTTTTGCAGAGGAAGATGAGCCCTGAGCTAACATCCGTGCCCATCTTCTTCTATTTTGTATGTGGGACACCGCCACACATGGCTTGATGAACGGTGCATAGGTCCGTGCCCAGGATTCAAACCTGTGAACCCCAGGCCACCAAAGCAGAGCAGGCAAACTTAACCACTATGCCACCAGGCCGGCCCCTGTATCCTGCTTTTTTAACTCTATACTATATCTAGGAGTACTGTATCGTCTTTAGTACGTTGAGAACTTTGTTTTGAAAGAAAAGCTTTATAGTACTGTAGTCCCTTCTCCATTTTGCCTGTTGATGGCCATTTAATGTTTCTAAACTTTTGCTATTATAAGTTATATTAATGAACAATCTTGTACTTATGTCATTTTGCATGTGTGCATGTGTGTCTGTAGGTTATGTTCCCTGAAGTGACATAGTTAAGCAAAAGGGTATATGCAGTTGTAATTTTGATTGATAGCACGAGTGACTCCCATAGGACTTTAATTCCTACTAGAAATGCATAAGTGCCTGTTTTCCCATAGCCTTAACAATAGTGTGAGCTTCATGCTTTTGTATTTCTGCCAATTCAAGGTGAAAAAGGGCATCGTGGTATAATTTTACTTTGCTTTTTTTTCTTTTTTTTATTATTTGTGTGTGTGTGTGTGTGAGGAAGATCAGCCCTGAGCTAACATCCATGCCAATCTTCCTCTTTTTGCTGAGGAAGACTGGCCCTGAGCTAACATCCATGCCAGTCTTCTTCCACTTTATGTGGGACGCCGCCACAGCATGGCCTGACAAGTGGTGCGTCGGTGCACGCCCAGGATCCGAACCCGGGCCGCCAGCATCGGAGCGTGCGCACTGGACTGCTATGCCACAGGGCCGCCCCCTGCTTTTTTCTTATTATGAGCATCTTTCTCCATCTTCTTGAATCATTTCTGTCTATTCATATTCCTTTTTTTTTTCTCAAATATGTCTCAATTTTATTAAGATCCTCTATACACACCACTCTCTGGGAGGGACGTCTTCACCAGTGACACTCACTGCCCACAGGGAGCCCATGCTACTGAAGGGTTGAGTTACTGTGTGTTGGGTTGCTAGGAGGACCATAACCACTGCCCTTGCTGCTGGCCACAGAAGTCCCCAGTCTGGTCAGGGAGGCAGGCAACACTACACGCTATGACGAATACCCAGCCCAGCAGAGCTGTGAACAACTATGCAAGTAGCACAGAGGAGGGATCAGAGGCCTCTGCCTTGGTGCATCAGGGAAAGCATCATATAGGAGACAGACTTGGGCCCTGAGCCCTACTGGAGGAACTAAAGGGCAAGAATGCTCTGAGTCACAGGGGGGTCACCGACTAAGGAAAAAGGCACCCAAGTGCATAGTGGTGGGGCAGGGATAATTCAGTGAGCTGGACATCATGATGTCTAAAGTGAGAGCAGCTTGGCTGAAAGACTATTTGTTCTCCTTTGCTTCCACAGCTGCCTACCTTGACCTCCTTTAGAAAGACATACACCCTTGTTGTCTTTCTTTTTTGCCAGACTGGGTGCTCCCCATACTTGGTACCTGAGGCACTCAACTGGTGTGTTTTCAGTCCATTTCTTACTAAAGAATTTATACTTTGTTCTGTGGCCAATGGATGCCAGGGGAGTGATATGTTCCTCTGAGATTAGAGAAAAGGAATCCAGGTGAGAGATGGTGAAAGAGTTTGATCAAGGCAGAGGATATGGGAAGTGGGGGATAAATATGGGAGATATTGCCTAATGGCAGGTCTTGGTGACCATTGGATGTGACAGTAAAAGATTAGAAGGCAACAAAAATGGTCTTGGAGTTCTGGCTTGTGAATTTGGACCAGTGTTAATGCTATGCTGGAGATGGGGTTTAGGAGGCTGTTATCTGGAGCACAGTGGTCTTGATTTTTCTTGGACTACAGAGTATGTCCTTGTCAATTTGATTTACATCTTTATAATTAGATCTTTGTTGCTAATAATAGCTTTGATTTCATTTCCCCTGTGCATTCTACTTTACAAGTTTCATATATTGAAGGCATATTACTTTTATTTTTTTATTTTTATTTTTTTTTAAATGAATGTTTGTTTTATTTTTATAGTTTTATTTATTTATTTTTTTCCCAAAGCCCCAGTAGATAGCTGTATGTCATAGCTGGACATCCTTCCAGTTGCTGCATGTGGGACGCGGCCCCAGCGTGGCCGTAGAAGTGTTGCGTCGGTGCACGCCCAGGATCCGAACCCGGGCCGCCAGCAGCGGAGCGCACGCACCCAACCGCTAAGCCACAGGGCTGGCCCTACTTTTATAATATAAATAAAAAGTGCTCATAGGATATTGAATCCAAGGCCTTGGAAGTTCAAGGCCTAGGTCTTCTGTTTCTAGTTGTGGGTCCTTGGGCAAGTCACTTAACCTTTGTTCTCCTCAGTGCCTCATCTCTAAAATAAGGATGATACAACTGCCTGTTTCATAGGATTCCTCTGAGAGTTAAATGAGGTGATGAGTGAGAATACTCTGTAAAACATTTATAAATACTGGCTGTTGTTTGAAATCCACTATGCTGTGTTCTGGGGAAGCAGAGATCTGTTAGGATCTCTTAATAGTACTGGCATATTTATACATTCTTCATGATCTTAGGACAAGGGTCTGCTGAAGTACCTGATTTGTGTAAATTCTTTGGCAGTGAGGACAGTATATAACTCTTGTGCAAAGCACAGTGCCTGTAGATTGTAAGTACTTCACTAAGTGTTTGGTGGAGCCAACACCTTTTCAGACAAGGTGGGGATGAAAAGAGCCTTGGTTTTGGGATGAGAAGACTTGGGTTGGGCAGATGAATTAACCTTCATTTTCTCTCCTGTAAAATGGGCCTAATCTTACTTTATAGGATGTTTGGGAGGATTCAGTGAGATAAAGCATGTTCGTTCATCCAACAAATATTTGATTGTATTCTAAATGCTAGGCACTGTTGTAGATGCTGCAGGATAAAGTCCATGTTTTTATAGATTTTTATGTTCTAGTGAGGGAGATTAAAAATAAATAGACAGTTGTATGATTTCTGAAAGTGATAAATGAGGAAAATACAACAGTTATTTTAAGTAGGCTGTCAGGGAGGCCTCAGAGGAAATGACATACTCAGCAGGTGTAGTATATAAAAATGATTAGTGACATAGTGAAAACTTGTAAAAATGGGTTGAGAGCAAGTGGGCAGAGTGAAGTCAAATGGTCTTTCTCCCCTAATAGCTGACACAATGACTCTAAAAGGTAAAAGTCGGCCAAAAAGTAAAATAGAAAAACCAAATAAATATTAAGAAGAAAATCCCTTCCATCAGCATTGAAATAAGGAAAGGGACTTAATACCATAAAACTCAAAGTGGCAGCACAGGATATAATACATTAAATGTCTAATACATTTCTGAGTGCCTCACAGTATTTGTGTATGTAATTAATTTACTCTTCTCAGAGAAATGTACAGAAATTTCTGGTATGGTTTAGTGCAAGTTCTAACCATGCAGCCCTCTTCTCTCACCTCTGCAAGGTATACTGATTAGTCCATAAAATCCTGAGAATTGTGAGTAATAATCTTGACTCTGGAAAGAAGCAAACAGGAGGAGGATCTGTATCCTCTGATGTGGGAGTAGTGGAACTGGCTGTTAGCCAAAGAACTGGGTGTGGTGGGGTGATGGTTCAGGGAATTAGGGATTGCCTCTCAGAAGCAAAAGTTGCTGGGCTCTGTGATGAGTTAGAGTGACGACAGGGAAGTCAAGGATGGCTTCTCCTCCGTTAGAGAGGGATTTCTCCTGACATGTAAGACATTTTACATTGTCGCACAGCCCAGGTGTTCTAGTAAAGACTGCATCTGGTTTTGGCAGAACTACATCTCTACCCCAATGCCCTGTCTTTAACCATCTACGGAAAAGTATAGGAAATGAGAAATACTCTTGGAGAGGGGGAAAAGAACAGACCTGAGGTCTGAGATTGACAGGAAATCAGTAAGAAACTCCACACACCATTTTGGAGCAAATAGATGCTCTGAACAGAGTTGCCCCCTTAGGTATGAGCTAGATGAAAAATGGCGTGCCACCCACATGATCATACTGTGGGCAGTAAAATTAAGGGTATGAACAGTACATAGAAAAATGAGCTGAGAACCGTGTCTGGAAGAAAACACGATTTAAGGAACACACAATTCCCAGCAGATTTTTCAAGATGTAGAAGAACTGCATAAGAAAATGACTTCAGGGGCTGGCCCGGTGGCGAAGTGGTTAAGTTTGCACACTCCACTTCAGCAGCCTGGGGTTCACAGGTTCAGATCCTGGGCGTGGACCTATGCACTGCTCATCAAGCCATCCTTGTGGCGGCCTTCGATATACAAAATAGAGGAAGGTGGGCACAGACATTAGCTGAGGGCTAATCTTCCTCAGCAAAAAGAGGAAGATTGGCAACAGATGTTAGCTCAGGGCCAATCTTCCTCACCAAAAAAAAAGAAAAAAAATGAATTCAATAAAACCGAGAGCTCAAAGGTGAGAAAATGAAGTAGCTTGAATTGCTAAGGAAACCAAGCCACACACTATTTCATATCTAATAAAGTTAGACTATAAGGAGCATGATAGATTTGGCTGAAAATCCAAGTACTGATGTAGAGAAGACTTGAGATAATCCAGTGAATGCAGAAGAAAAAGGCAAAGCAATCAGAGAGCAGATGATATCTATGGAAGACTGATAAATATAATTACAATAGGGGTAATTGGTGTCCAAAATAGAGAACTCAATAAATGGATCGAAAAAGAATATTCAAAGATGAAATAGGAAATTTCCCACAAATGCAGGAAGAGCTAAATCTGCAAATATTAAATTACATTGAGTACAAGAGTGATTGTCAGTGAAAGTCTTAGCCTGCTGATGGTTTAAAAAGTACTGTCAATCTTTTTAATTTTAACCTTTCTGGTGGGTGATAGTGATATTTCATTCTGGGTTTGGTTTTTTTTGTGAGGAAGATCAGCCCTGAGCTAACATCCGTGCTAATCCTCCTCTTTTTGATGAGGAAGACCGGCTCTGAGCTAACATCTATTGCCAATCCTTCTCCTTTTTTTTTCCCCCCAAAGCCCCAGTAGATAGTTGTATGTCATAGTTGCACATCCTTCTAGTTGCTGTATGTGGGACGCAGCCTCAGCATGGCCGGAGAAGCGGTGCGTCGGTGCGCGCCCAGGATCCGAACCCAGGCCGCCCGTAGCGGAGCGTGCGCACTTAACTGCTAAGCCACGGGGCCGGCCCCTTTTCTGGTTTTTGTTTGTTTGTTTGTTTTTGTTTTTGTGAGGAAGATCAGCCCTGAGCTAACATTGGATGCCAGTCCTCTTCTTTTTTGCTGAGGATGATTGGCCCTGGGCTAACATCCGTGCCCATCTCCCTCTACTTTATATGGGATGCTGCCACAGCATGGCTTGACAAGCGGTGCGTTGGTGCACGCCCAGGATCTGAACCTGCGAACCCCAGGCCGCCAAAGTGGAGCACATGCACTTAACTGCTGCGCCACCGGGCTGGCCCCCTCTTTCTGGTTTTAGTTTTCATTTTCCTAACAACTAATGGCATTGAGCATCTTTTCATGTGCTTATTTAGCATCTGTATATCTTCTTTTTTTTTTTTTTGATTTACTGCACCAAATATTTACTTCTTTTTCATGTTATATAAGGGCTGTTGATTGGCTGAAGCTCTGTCCCAGCTGTGGATCAATTCCATGTATTCTTCACTCTGATCCAGGTTGAAGGAGGAATCACAATATAGCACATACTCATTGCAGTATCTCCTACTATGTCTTTAAGTGAAGAACTGTTTTCCAGAATCTCCTTGCCTCTGAAACTCCATGTTAGAATTGGCCAGAAGAGGATTTTGCTTGATGTCTTGCTAAGATTTCACTCGTTCAATCGACAAACATGTATTGTGTGAGACGCTTTTCAGATTATTTACTGCTTTCTCTAGTCACCAAGACTCCAGAAAGGTCGTGGCCCTGATAGGCTCTGAGTGCATCGCAGTGAGAGGTGAGACCTCTCCAGGGACTGGGACATTGGCAGCAGCCATTGTTGTGGCCTAGTGTGGGCATGCTGACACAGACACCATTGGAGTTCTCCCTGGGGCCTGCTAGCCCAGGGTCTGCCCCACTCACTCAGCATCTGTATATCTTCTGTAGTGAAGTGTGTTTGCATCCATTTTAAAACACCTTTATTGAGGTGCAGTTGACATAGAACAAACTGCCCAGATTTAAAATGTACACTTTGCTAAGTTTTGACATGTGTATACACCCATGAAACCATTGCCATAATCAAGGTAATAAACATCTGTCACCCCACTAGAAGTTTCTTCATACTCTTTTGTAAGTTCTCTCTCTTGCACTGTCCCATGGCCCCTCCTCATCCCCAGGCAACCATTAATCTTCTTGTCATTTTTTTTTTTTTTTCATGAAGAAGATCAGCTCTGAGCTAACATCCATGCCAATCCTCCTCTTTTTGCTGAGGAAGACTGGCCCTGGGATAACATCCGTGGCCATCTTCCTCCACTTTATATGGGACGCCACCACAGCATGGCCTGACAAGCAGTGCATTGGTGCACCCCCAGGATGCGAACCCGGGCCACCAGCAGCGGAGCGCCGCGCTTAACTGCTATGCCACGGGGCTGGTCCCTAATCTTCTTGTCATTATACCTTAGTACATTTTCTATAAATTTATATAAATGAAGTCATACAGGATATACTTTTTTTGGGGGGGGGCGTCTGGTTTCTTTTACTCAGTATAATTATTTCAAGATTCATCCTTGTTGCATGTATCAATAGTTCATTCATTTTTACTGCTGTGTAATATTCCATTTTTTGGATGGACTACAATTTGTTTATCCATTTACCTGTTGATGGATATTTATTTCCAGTTTTTGGCTATTATAAATAAAGCTTTTATAAACATTAGTGTATAAGTCTTTGTATGGACATATGCTTTCATTTCTCTTGGGTAAATATCTAGGATTGAAATGGTTGGATCTTGTGTATATGTTTAGCTTGAAGGACCAGCCAAACTGTTTTCTGAAGTGATTATACCATTTACATTCCCTTCAGCAGTGTATAAGAGTTCTAGTTCCTCCACATCCTTGCCAATACTTGGTATGGTCATTGTTTAATTTTAGCCATTCTAGAAGATGTGTAGTAGTAGTATTTCCTTGTGGTGTTATTTATTTATTTTTTCTCTCCCCAAAGCCCCTGTACGTAGTTGTACATTCTAGTTATAAGTCCTTCTAGTTCTTCTACGTGAGCTGCCACCACAGCATGGCTACTGACAGATGAGGGGTATGGTTCCATGACCGGGAACTGAACCCAGGCTGCTGAAGCAGTGAGAGTGCTGAACTTGAACCACTAGGCCTTTGGGGCTAGCTCACCTTGTGGTTTTGATTTGTAAATATTTCCTCCTTGGAAGGACATTTCCTGTAAGGCCAGTAGTGTAGAGGGCTAAATCCATTTAATCTGCAGTTGGGCTGAGTCTGGGCTTTGTTGCAGTTTTATTTAGATTCAGTTCAACTTTGGCTTTAGTGCCTTCCTCCAGACTTTGAATCAAGCACTGATAAGAGTTCAGATACCTTGCTATGCTTTACAGGCTGCTAGTTTTTGGGCCTTTCGATTTTCTTTGTTCTCTGGTTTTGCTCCTGGTACTCTGCAAGAAAGAAACAAAGTTTGTAAAGTCTTAGATGTTGGAATGTGACTTGTATGTGGCCTTGATTCAGGGTTCTTTGTTTCCTTGCCCTAGGTATTCCTGGAGTGGAGAACCACTTTTTTTGACCTGCCCTACATCAGAAGTCACTGAGCTCCCGGCCTGCAGCCACTGTGGAGTCCGAAGAACGTTTGAGTTTCAGCTTATGCCAGCACTGGTCAGCATGCTCAGAAATGCTAATTTAGGTAATAAGCCCTTTATTAATTTGAATTGTGGATTTCTGGCACTAATTTGGAATTATTTTTAAATGAAAGAGTATTGTATTTTTGTTTACTTATGAAGTATAAGCATATTACAGAAAATTTGGAAAATTGAAGTTATTTTAAGGAGATTTATAATCTGACCAATCTAACACAAATACCGATACTATTTTGGTTAATTTAAGGCCAAGCTATTTTCTTTTTTTTTTTTTTTTTT